CATGGCCTCTCTCATTACGCAGTGCTGCGCCAAGTGCCTCGCGACGTCCAACTGCGGCGGGTACTCGATCTTTGAGAACCGGTGCTACATCAAGTCGGCGATGAATGGCCAGAAGGGCGTCAACGGTGTCACGTCCGCGCGCCGTCAATAGGCCATCTCGGCTAGTGTGCATAGTACAAACCAGTGCGTTTGTTTGAAACGAGAGGCGCGTAGTCGTTGTAACGCTGCTCTAATGTACGCCGTCTCGTAAGCGTGAGTGTGGTAAATGCAGTGGCACGCGTGCTTTGAGTGTTGACCACAAGCAAACGCCGTTGCCACTAGAAATAGTTGACTGGCAAGCAAGAATGAAGGGCGTCCTTCCGGTCTACAGTGATCACTAAACTGGTGGACGGTGCCAGTATCAGATCCGTTCGAGGAGAGGACCTACAGCTCAGTGGTTGGTGGTAACTTAGTGATCGAAAGGTTGTAGTATGGAAGATACAGTCCCTGCACGCACACGTTTTGCAGCTTCGCAAGGCTGGATCCGACACAACATTGCTTACAATATATCCGACATGACGACTGCTGTAGTATCCTTGGTTCTCGTACAGTTCAGAGTCGAAACGTCGTCGCGACAGGAGCAACAAGCACGACGAACGTATCCAAGGTGCGACTAAGCACGATGGGAACGTTGGATCCAAATATATATTGACACGTCATCCTGCGTCAAGTCGGACTGTACGAGTGCGATTCGTTGGTGGCGCGGCTCTGGTACTACAATTTGCCGAGCTCTTTGTAGTCTACTAGCAACGACGACTAAAATACTTTGTCGCGATCAGTCAAGTGCTGCGAACGAGCTCCGACCATCTCAAGTTCCGAATCCCAAATATATGCAGTTGATGTTTGGGTCGCACCACCACTTGGCACCACTCGCTGTCGTGACCAAGCTTGTCCATCTCCAGCACTTTCGATACTGTTATACCCACCCAAGCCGTACATTCTCCACACGAGTATGAATGGCTTCAGGCCGCCTCCTCCTTCCGGCCTGCGCGCCACCAACTCGACGAGTATGTTACGTTTTTCTGCTGCCACTTTTCTTCGCGACCGCCCACAAGCAGGACCAGATTGAGATGCCAAGAGAGTGCCGCTTCAACCGGCACAAACGACAGCGTCATCTCTGGCAGCTTCGTCGTCAGCCACCTTCCTTCTTCTACCGTCGCATGAGGGCCGTCCATCGCAGCATTCAGATCTCCAGTGCACTGATTTCTTGCCCGAATCAGTTTCTACGTTACTCGACTTTTCCGGTCCCACCCGTTGGTTGCGCCGCCAACATGGTATCATTGCGTCCCAATCTAGTAATGTGACTATAGTCGATACAAACATACCTACTAAATGTGGTATACACGCTCCTCGTTGTCCGCTGATACGTGGTAGTCACGCCGTGTTGCTCACGCCGCTGGCAAGCCTCGAACCCGCGTTCGAACCGTCGATTCGCGCGGCGTCTACAACATGTGGTTTGCTGCCCATCACCCGAGCCGACGTTACGTCATGTACCGTAGTAGTACCTTATCCGACCCGCAGCCCCCGGTCGTCCAGTCGCGCGTCGTGCTAGGCGGCCGAGCGTCTACGCTCGCTAGTCGCTCCATCATGATAATAATACCGGTCTACTAGGATACACGCCCGTTTAGCCACTGATTGATCCATCAACCCAGCCGCCACCATGGAGGCGGTTGTAACACGATGGCAAAACGTACGGAGTTCATCGAACGCAGGCTGATGGCGCCGAACCCCCGTCGCAGGCGCAAGCAAGCGCTTTGTATGTGGACCGAACCTTCGCTCGTACCATGCGGAGGCAGTCGCCGCCGACAGCTTTCGGCGCATTTTGGTTTTTGCTTTGCCATGTTCAAGACGCTTTTGCTGGGTCTGGCGGCGACGGTCGCGTCGGTGTCGGCCATGGGCATCTGCTACGACACGTACGACTACAAGAACATCGACACGCACTTTAGCACGCTCGCCGGTCGCTTCTCGACGGTCCGCACCTTCCAGACGTACATCTACAGCGACAGCCGCAATGTGATTGACGCTGCGAGCGACCACGGTCTCGGTATCTACGCCGGTGTGTGGATCCGCGACGGCATGGACTTCAACAAGGAGATCCAAGCGGTCATTGACGGCTACAAGCGCCACCCAAACACGGTCAAGGCCGTCTTTGTCGGCAACGAAGACCTGGACAACGGCTGGAACCAGTGGCAGGTCATCGACAAGATCAACGACGCCAAGGGCCGCTTCAAGGCCGCCGGTGTCAACGTCCGCGTCGGGTCGGTGCAGACCGACGGCGCCTGGCTCCGCAGCCAGGATCTCTACAACGCGTGCGACCTTGTCGGTGTCAACATTTACGAGTTCTTCGGCGGTTCGCACGAAGCCCGGTGGGATGCGGTCGTCAAGAAGTTCGGCGGCAGCAAGCTCATGATCACAGAGACCGGGTGGCCGTTTGGCGGCGGCAACTACGGCAACCAAGTCGCGTCGTTCGACAACGCCGTCAAGCACTTCAACAAGGTCCGGTCCTGGATGAATGCGGGCAACGGCGGCGAAGACGTCATGTACTTTATGTTCCACGACAACCAAGGCAAGTCGCCCGACTACGAAAAGCAGTTCGGCCTCGCCGACGCGAGCGGCAAATGGAAGTTCGACTTCTCCGGTGCCGGTCCGGCGCCGCAGCCCAACCCGCAGCCGAGCCCGTCGCCGCAGCCCAACCCGCAGCCGCAGCCGAGCTCCAACCCGCAGCCGAGCTCCAACCCGCAGCCCAACCCAAGCCCGGCACCCCAGCCCAACCCGAGCCCGGCGCCGCCGAGCGACAAGAAGTGCGGTGGGGTCGAGTGGAACACCGACTACCCGGGCAACGACATGTTCAACTTTGCGATGGCCGGTGACATGGGCAGCCTCATGAACAAGTGCTGCAGCACGTGCCTCTCGACCTCGGGCTGCGCCGGCTTTGCGATCTTGAACAGCCGCTGCTACATCAAGTCGGCGCTCGGAGGCAAGAAGGAGGGCGCGAGCGGTGTCACGACCATGCGCCTCCAGTAATCGATTCCAAGTATACTACACCTATTCTATGAGTTTGCAGATTAACGTATGACAATATTATACACAATTGTCCACTGAATAATGCAAGAACCAATGGTGTTGTTTTGGCGATCGCAAAGTCAAGTAGGCGTTTATCATTTTAACGCGTTTTTGTCGTTTGAACGCGTTTTTTATTGATATGGTGTATCCGGACATGTCACCGGATAAACAGGTGCAACCTCGGAATTTGCGACGACGATGGCACCGCTGACGACGCTGCCCGAGGTGCCAGCTCATTGCACGCGCCTGTACCTCTGCCGCCACGGCGAGACGCGTACGCTGCCATCTCACTAACGTCGCATGTGCATCATGCGCTGTATCATGTAGAGTTCAACGTCGACGGCTGCTTCCAAGGCAGTGGCATCGACAGCGTCCTGACCGCGCACGGCGCAGCGCAGGCACACGCACTTGGGCTTGCGTTTGCCGACGTTCCACTGGACGCAGTCTTCTCGAGCACGCTCTTGCGGGCCAAAGCGACGGCCGCGCAGATCCAGCGCCACCACGCGGCCACGTCGGGCACGGTTGATGGCATCCAAGAAATGCACTTTGGCGAGTACGAGGGCAAGAAGCTCGCGTCGCACCAAGTAGAGTTTCACGCTGTCGTCGACAAGTGGGCGGCCGGGGACCTCGACGTTGCGTGGCCCGGCGGCGAGTCGGCGACCGACGTCGCGACCCGGGGCACCGCCGCTCTGGAAGCGCTGCTGAGAGCCGCCCCTCAACGGCGCCACGTAGCCGTCGTGTGCCACAGCCGGTTCAACCGCATCGTCTTGGCGTCGCTTGTGCACAACGATTTGCGCACGATGGCGAATATCGTCCAAGACAACACGTGCGTCAACGTCCTCGACTACGACCACGTGACGCGCTCGTTCTATCCGATTCTCATCAACAACACGGACCACTGGCGCTACCTCGAGACCCTATCGACGTAATTTCAACCCTGTTTCGGTATCCAAGCAGAGTAGGATATAGAGACCAGCATCGACGACATCAGGAGGATATAGCTATCACGATGGCGAGCTAGCGGTGAGCTTCATTATTCATGGTCTCGTTGACAGAGCTTATTGACGGTCAAGCGCCAAGGTGCGGGACAGTGCCTTGGACTCCATTCAATGGCGTACCCACTCCACCACACGACATGCAGTTGGACAGAATAGCGTTTATCACAGTGTTAAAATGACGTCGAGACGATCGCAAAACAACAAACGCAAGGGTGTTGCCTCTTCTTCCCACAAAGTTTATTGACGGCGCGCGGTCGTGACGCCGTTGACGCTCCGGCGACCGACCATGACCGACTTGATGTAGCAGACATCGTTCTTGATCGCGTAGCCGGCGCAGCCCGAGGTCGCGAGGCACTTGCCGCAGCACTGTGAAATGAGAGACGCCATGTCGCCCTTGATGCCAAACTGGAAGAGGTCGTTGCCGGGGTAGTCGGTGTCCCACTCGGGCGCCGAGCACGA